AAAATTTAACATATACAAATATAGTATAATAATAGTGTATTTACATTTTCACTCTTAATAAACTTTGGCCGGCCCGGAAAAAAAAGTGTACTTACATTATAATTTGAATATAACAACAAAATATATGTAACTTTCAAAAATGCCATGGTATCACGCCTATTTTCGTGAAGTGGACGTCTCCGGACGAAATCCTCTCACAACTACGCACACCGTGAATTTTTCCTTCCCCGTTTACATGAATCTTCAAGCAAATTTGACGGTTCAAACTTTCCACGATGTAGTTACACTGCAATTATATCGTATTTACATTTATAACTGGGCCATGGCCTGCTTGCAGCTCCCCAACGCGCCACGGCGATCAACGAAATTGGCCCAGCACACGCCAAGCTCAAGCAGGCCATAAAAGCTGGAAATATTGTCATTCTCCCAGCCCACCGCCCGTAAGTCGCGAATGAGCCCATGATGAGGAGGACGACCAACGATGCCGGCCCAATTTCGCCCTGGATTTATGCGAATCGGCACCTGGTTCAGATGGTAGCGATCCTGATTTTTCATGCGGCAGTGTTTGTTCATTTTATAGCCATTTTTAACCTTTTTAAAATTTAATATTGCTAAAATTTTAGCAAGTTAACAATATTATTAAATTTAGGTAGGATAAGCTTGTTGTTGTCAAATTCTCTAGGGATGACCAATACTCTATTTGATAACAAAATCATCATATATTTGTTAATTTTATCAAACAATGATATGCTTTAATCTGAATAGACCTTTAGGACCCTATTTAGGATCGGTACCTTTCATGCCCATATTTCCTTAATAAGTTAAAACATCTTATTAAGAAATATAAATTAATTTATAGTTAAAACTTTTATATGACTTAAAAACCAATGTAAAAAGATACACTGAAAATATATCAAAATCAACTTAAAAGTTTGAAAATTTAAATTTAGGCTTTAGTGTATTAGTGCAATCAATAGGCTCTTATTCACTTAAGCCCCTTAGGGATCCTAATATATGCAGTTATTATGACCATTTTTTGACTTTATGCAATTTAGCCCCTAATCTAGGTCGAATTTGTACAAATCACCACACACCGAAGCCGCAAACCCCACCAATCCCACAAACCACTCTCCAGCCCTCTCTGCCTCCTCGCCGCCGCCGCCGCCACCGCCGCCGCTCGCCGGCGCGGCGCCAGCCATGCTCCCCTTCGTCCGCTCACTCCGTAGGCTCGGCCCTGCCGCGGCCGATGGGCGCCTCCTTCTCCCCCTCGCTCCGCTCTCCTCGAAGGCGGCCGCGCCGCCGCCGGAGTACGAGATGCCGTCGGTGACGTGGGGCGTGATCCAGGGGAGGAAGGAGCGGCTCGTCTCCCGCGTGCTCGCGCTCGACTTCCTCCGCTCCGCCGGCGTCTCCGACCCCGCCGGCGAGCTCGAGGCCGTCGAGCTCCCCTCCTCCCTCGAGGTGCTCCAGGAGCGGCTCGACTTCCTCCTCCGCCTCGGCCTCTCCACCGACGACCTCTCCGCCTACCCGCTCCTCCTCGCCTGCTCCCTCCGCAAGAACGCCATCCCCGTCCTCTCCTACCTCGAGAAGCTCGGCGTCACGCGCGCGCGCCTCGCCGCCTTCGTCCGCGCCTACCCGGCCTGCCTCCACGCCTCCGTCGCCGTCGACCTCACCCCCGTCGTCAAGTCCCTCCGCGGCCTCGACGTCGACCGCCAGGACCTCCCCCGCGTCCTCGAGAGGTACCCTGACATCCTCGGCCTCAAGCCCGATGGCACCATCAGCACCTCCGTCGCGTACCTCGTCGGCATCGTCGGCGTGGCGCCGCGCGACATCGGCCCCATGGTGACGCACTTCCCTTTCTTCCTCGGCATGCGCGTGGGCACCACCATCAAGCCTCTGTGCGAGTACATCACTTCTCTCGGGCTGCCAATGCGGATCCTCGCGAGGATTCTCGAGAAGCGGCCATACATTCTTGGCTATGATCTTGAGGAGACGGTCAAGCCAAATGTGGAGGCATTGCTCAGCTTTGGCATTCGAAAGGAGATGTTGCCGCTGGTGATTGCGCAGTATCCGCCTATTCTTGGATTACCGCTGAAAACGAAGTTAGCAGCCCAGCAGTACTTCTTCAACTTGAAGCTCCAAATTGACCCTGATGCGTTTGCCTGTGCTATTGAGAAATTGCCGCAGCTTGTAAGTTTGCATCAGAATATCATACTGAAGCTGGTGGAGTTTCTCCGTGGGCGAGGGATTAGTAATGAGGATGTTGCGCGGATGGTGGTTCGATGCCCTCAGATTTTGTTGCTTCGGATGGAGCTCATGAAGAACAGTCTTTACTTCTTCAAGAGCGAGATGAAGCGCCCAATAAGTGAATTGTTAGATTACCCTGAGTATTTTACTTACAGTTTGGAGTCAAGGATCAAGCCTAGGTACATGAGAGTTTCAACTAAGGGGATTAGATGCAGCTTGGATTGGTTCCTAAACTGCAGTGATCAGAGATTTGAGGAAAGAATGAGAGGGGATTTTATTGAAGGCGATGCACCAGGACCCTCCTTTACAATGGGAGGGAAGCTTCAGATGCCAGGCAGCCAGTTAGTGTCGGATGATGATAATGCGGAAAGTGACGATGAGGTGCTATATAGACGAACAGTCATGCTCTAGTGAGTGTAGTTTCTTCTTCTTGTCTTTCTTTGAAAAAAGCTGCAGCATATTAGTACTTTGTGAACATTCACAAGATTAAAAAAAAACTGGCCATTTTTGTTCCAGATTTGGTGGAGGATAATCCCAAAGATCTTTCGTGATGTGCTCCTGACAGCATCATGCACGCAAGTGAGTTCTAATTTTCTATGTTTTCTATGTCAAATACCATCTAGTATAGCCCTGATAACTAAAACCGACTGCAAGGGATTGAAGTATACTTACTGAAACTGTTATTATTCATGCCTGATTAGTGACGAGGAACGGCCATCTGATCTTGTATATTTTGCTCAGCATTAGTAGCTGCAAGATATTGCATCAATGGCTACTCCAATAAGCTAGAAGTAGAGGGGCTATAACAGGGAAGTAAAAATGAAAAGATAATGAGTTGTAATCAGGAATGTGCAAGTAATCATACCCTTTTCTGCAAAACTAATAAAATGGCAGACTAGGAGATAAATTTAAATCTCTAGCATCAAGTCGTCAACACACTTTAGAGGCTATCTTTGAGACACAGTGAGACTTTCACTTTCCAAGTAAGCTTCTCAAATGAATTTGTGATAGAATACGTCCTCTGTTATTTATACCCACTTAGAAACTAATCATAAATATGAGTAATCTATAAAAATTGTTGATGTCGATTCTAATTATTTGCTTCATTTTGTTCATGACTTCAAGGCTATACCATCATTATCGGTAAATAGCTGCCTGGTTATTTGCATTTGCAAACTGAAATTCGCTAACCACGCAGGCATCCTCAACTGCAAGATGAAAAAGGCTTTGGCGTTAATGGAACATTCTCACACCAACAGAGGTCATTGGAGTGCTGGCCTAAGCAACAGCTCGAAGGGATTAACAAAGGTAGCAGATGTACTCCGTGACAGCCTCTGGCTTTGGTTATGTGCGACTTGAGGCGAAAGCTGGAGATTCGTAGACCAGTTTTGGTAGGAGATCAAAGAGTAGCTGTGGTAGAGTGGAGATAATGTGCCAGTGATGAAAAATCCTGTTCACTGAAATTTTACTCTAGGACACCATATGATCCCAACATAGGATTCAGATTTTTGTAGCCTGTAGACTATTTACTGTCTGTAATTCAACTGCTGAGAAAAGTATTGCCTAATGAACTTATTACTAGCACGGTGTGTACAGCTTACATTGTGTTCCACATAACCACATTTCAGTGTCTATGGTTTTGTTGCCAATCTGAATGTCATTACAGATAGATAGAGAGTTCACTTCAGTACTGGAAATCACTCTGAACCTGATACCACCTCTACCTGCCTTCCCTAGCTAAATGTGAGGGAGTTGAGCTGTCCTTTTGCACAGAATGAGCTCTGTGCCAGTGACTGTTCAAAGCATTTGTAGGAAAAGCAACGATGCAGACAGCTTCGTTGGCAGAAGTTCGCACAAAGCATCATAGGGCTCTTAGGTAAAGCATCGGTGCTCATAGCACTGATGCGTCTTGTATCTGAATGCACTTCAGCAGCTTGTGGTGATCTTTATTTCTAATCAGAAGCAAAGTTAGACAGCCATGATGAGCTGCCCCTATGACTATCTGGGCATCTCTTCTGATTATTGATAAATGTTCATGTAAAATGCAGGTATTGTACAGAACATTGTTGAAGAAAAACTCCAACAACTCACCCAGTTAATCCAGTCATCAGATAGGAGCAAGATCAAGCATCATGTCAAGATCAGTCAATCAAGTCATCTAATTAGAACCCAAATCACATTAGAAAAAAGATCAGAATCGTGTGGTAAACCAGATCTTCAGACTAACAAATCCTCACACACTAACAGAACAAAAAGTTTCTGCAAACAGAAACAGAATGTCAGTAAGGACAAGAGGACAGAAACAAATCTTTATCTGCTTTTTTCTCCCTTATTAACCTTTCACTTTTTTCTGTCTTGTTAGAGTGCACCGTTTTTGTGCGAACATTTACTCCTTTATCCATTAATCAGGAGTCCAGGACCATTTCCTTTGCTCCATGCTTGTTTCCAGCTCTCCATGTGCTCTGCATTGCCAGATGCCTCTTTGCAAAGCTGACCTTGCATTGCATTGCCCACAGCTCAACCATGCAATGTTCTATCTTCATATCTTGCTAGGAGGATTAGCACTCACTAATTATCTCTGAAGAAACATGACTTATTATCACTGATTATCAGTGAAGCTTTTACCAAGATTGTGAAAATTTTCTGACAAGTGTTGTTTGATCAAATTTTAATCGAGTTATGCACCAGAAACTTAATCACTGAACTTGTTAGTACTTTATTTAAAAAGTTGTATAAGGTTGATTCATAATGCATTATGAGAAACGCCTAGGGTTCTTCCGGCTAGCTTCACAAGGTGGTGGGTTAGACGATTTGGGTTCGAAGCCTCACCCATTCTAATTATTTAATATTAGGTCATTCTCCAATATTCGCGTCTAATGCATTATTGACGCCACTAGCAAGGCCACATTTGTGTACTTATACTCTATAAAGCCATTGGTGATGTGCTTGTACATTGCACCCATGCATCTACACACGCATCAAGCTAAGGACATGGAAACGCTTGGGAGGAGGAGGAGAGTGGCCGTCCTTGCATGGTGCAATGCCATTGCAATGGCGCTAGCTCTAGCGACACCGGTGGCGGCTGTCGCTGCCAACCACGGCGACACGGCGGCGGCGAAGGACAATGTGGCCGTCGTCCCGAGGATTGCCGCCTCGGCGGCGGCGGCGGCGTCGAGCGTGAACGTCACGGCCATCTGCATGGCGACGCCGTACCCGAGCGCGTGCGAGACGGCGCTCTCGTCGGCGGCGGCGCGGGGCGCGGCCAACGACCCGTTCGCGGCGTCGGTGCAGTTCGCGATGACCCGCGCCGAGTCGGCGCGCGCGCTGGCGCGCAACCTGTCGGCGTCGTCGTCGAGGCCACGCGTGGCGCCGAGCGGCATGGACGACTGCGCCGAGCTGCTCGACATCAGCCTCGACCAGCTCCACGACGCGCTCGCCGCGCGCGCCGCGGACGCGGCCGGCGTGACGACGTGGCTCAGCGCCGCGCTGACGAACCAGGGCACGTGCGGCGACAGCCTCGCCGCCGTTCCCGACCCCGCGGCGCGCTCCGCCGTACGCGCCCGGGTCGCCGCGCTCGAGCAGTTCATCGGCACGGCGCTGGCTCTCCACGCCAAGCTCAACAATGGCGGCAGCGGGAGCTCCTCGCCGGCGCCGCCGAGCCGCGCCGCGTTCCCATCCTGGGTCACCAAGCACGACAGGCACCTCCTCTCATCCCCGGCGAGCACCATCGCGCCGGACGCCGTGGTGGCCCTCGACGGCAGCGGGACGCACACGAGCATCAGCGACGCGATCGCCGCCGTGACCGCGCCGCCGCCGCCGGCGCACCACCCCACGGCGAGCGGCGGCGGCGGCGGCGGACGGAGCCGAAAGGTGATCTACGTGAAGGCTGGGAGGTACGAGGAGAGCGTGAGCATCACGAGCAAGCAGAAGGACGTGATGCTGCTCGGCGACGGCAAGGGGAAGACGGTCATCTCCGGCCACCGGAGCGTCGCCGGCGGCTACACCACCTACGCCTCCGCCACCGTCGGTGCGTACCCTTCCCACTACTCACGTCGACACGACGCGCCACCATGGACGATATGGATCGTCGTACGTACGTACGTGCGTGGTGTCCAGATATCTTCCATTCCATGCATGCAGAGATGCCCATGCATGCATGACAGTTAATAGTTCGATCGATCTAGTCGTTAGATGCGCACACTTTTTATAGCCTTTAATGATCGCCAATCTCGTCGAAATTAATCCTCAACCGTCCAAATGCTAACGACAGCGATGTTGCACTTGCCAATTGCCATCACCTTTTCTCTTTTTTTTTCTTTTTTTTTTTTTGCCGGTGTGTGCTGTACACTACACTCCCATGATCAAATTTCACAAGCAGAAATATCTCATTTTGTACTAGTAGAGTAGTAGAAATGGATATAATCAATTAACTGAATTATAACAATAGTGAATTGGTGATTATTTGTGCAGCTGCAATGGGGTCGGGGTTTATAGCCAAGGGCCTGACGATCGTGAACAGTGCCGGGCCGGGGAAGGGCCAGGCGGTGGCGCTGCGCGTCGGCGGCGACCTCTCTGTCGTGTACAATTGCGGCATTGAGGCGTACCAGGACACGCTCTACGTGCACTCCAACCGGCAGTTCTACGCCGCCGACGACATCTCCGGCACGGTGGACTTCATCTTCGGCAACGCCGCGGCGGTCATCCAGGGCTGCGAGATCCGGGCCCGGCGGCCCAGCCCGGGCCAGGAGGACACCGTCACGGCCCAGGGCCGGTCCGACCCGAACCAGAACACCGGCATCTCTATCCATCGGTGCCGGATCACCGGCGCGCCGGACCTCGGCGGCACGCCGGTGTATCTGGGCCGTCCGTGGCGGAGGTACTCACGGACGGTCGTGATGGGGACGTTCCTGGACCGTTCGATCGCACCGGCCGGGTGGCTCGAGTGGTCGGGCCAGTTCGGGCTCAGCACGCTCTACTATGGCGAGTACGGCAACACCGGGCCTGGCGCGGGGACACGTCGGCGGGTGACGTGGAGCGGCGTGCACACGTCGATGTCCACGTCGGACGCCACGAGGTTCACCGTGGCAAACTTTATCGTTGGGGATGCGTGGCTACCTGCCACTGGAGTTACCTACACTTCAGGTCTGTAGTGGCGTACTAGTAGCGAAAAAGAAAAAAATGAAGATGGTGTTGTGTTCTGTTCTCTGTATCACCTGATTAATTAACTTGGAGCTAAATTGCATGTTGTTAACTAGTAATTTTTATTTGCTCCGGTATTTTTATGTGTTCTACTTGATGTTATGCATGTTTCAGATTACAATGTTTCTGGATGTGTTGAGGTTAATTGGAATGGTTCTTTATGTATAAAGGATTCTACACCAAATTGAAACAATCACAGAAACTCGATGTTCTAGCATTGTGCTGAAGGAATACAGAAGGATCCAGTTGATAATTGAGACGAACAATACTAAAACTCATTTATCAGCAAGAAATGATAATGAGTATATATGAAAATGGATAGAGTTTCAGCTTATTCATGTAGCAATTCTTAGGCCTTGTATGTCTGAATTTCAGAAACCTTATTTCAGAGCTTCCCCTTCTGATCTTTCCTGGGCTGCAGAGAATCGACGTCTTCGAAAACTCGAAGCGTCGACAGCTCGATGAAATCGGTGACTTGAACCCCCATAGGCCTGCATCACAGAATTGACAGCACAATAGTAAGTTTGATCAGAAACTCTAGTACGATATCAATCTTTTTTTCTGAAATAAATGGTAAATCAAGCAAAGTGTTTGCCAGCACCATGGGAAGCAGGCCTTCTCCGGCAGCCGCATGCCAAGCCTAGGCCCTTCATCGTACCCTTCGCAGATCATATTCCCCTTATCATCTCTGTAACATACCACTCCTCTCACCTGGTCTTCAAATACCTGAACAATCACAGCACAGCATAATCTTGTGTAAAAACCATGAACCATTTAGCAACAGTTGCATCAGCTAATTAAGTTGGCTGTACTTACCATCTTGGCAGGTGCTGCAGTTTGGGAGAGGTGAGCATTGCTGCAGCTGCAGCTGTGCACTGGAGCTCTGACGAACTTGGCCATGGTTGCCTTCCTTGTGCCAAATCTTGGGGTGGAAATGGAGGAAGAAAGGTGATGGCAAGAGCTCATTGCCGCCATTTGGTTCATGGCCTTGCTAGTTTGGGAAGGAGAAGGGTGGTGAACTAGTTGCATAGAGGGCAAGCTTTTCAATGATGGATCCATTGGATTTTGACTTCTTGGTGCCTAGCGTGTATTATTGGGGATTTCTATTGGTCTGTTTGCTGATGCTGAGCAAGATGGCAATTTTTATATGCAATGTTGCTATATCCACAAGTGATGCTAACAAATTGAAGATTTGTGGTCACTTTATTGCATTGTGAATCCTGTCTAGTGGACATTGTGTAACATGATTATAAGGTTCCTTTTTCTGGTGAAAACTAAGAATAGCAAAAAAGGGGTTCAAAGATTGGCATGGCATATTATGGTGTTAACAACTCGGCACAAACATTGTAGTGTTCATTTAGCATTGTTCTTTTGTTAGAGTAGAAAGTAATGTTTCGGCTTATCTTGTATCCTTTTGGGCCGTGGGACCAGCTGTCCCATCGTGGACATTATCTTCATAGTTTTTAATAATATCACTATCCTATTTGGAGAACCGACAAATCCTTATCTGGTGATGTGGTACACAAAACAAATACTAGTAGTCGATTTATTTTGATCACCAAATAGTGTACGACTGAGGCATTTTACGCAGTAATGAAGTTGGCTTCATCATGTGGTTATTGAAAACACTAATAACATTGTTATATTTTATATTTATAAAATTGCATGTGGCTTTAAACAGAGATGAAAGATAATAGTAATAAGCAAATAGGAGTACCATAATTTTATTTACACCCGAAAATCGGCCGCTATTTACACCTCTGATGAAACACAAGTTCCCATTAATTCATCTCTGTTTGGACAGAGCCCCGGAATTACACTGACGAACCCTAGTTAATTTACTGTGGTAATAATAATATTTCCAGAGAGCAACTCTAACCTGGTGCTTGGGGAGGTCGACCAGGTTTACTACATCTGCAAGTCTCTTCTGCAGCAGGGCTTCAGGCCGCAGCAATTCATCCCATCCACTGCAAAATGCACCACCTCCTTGGCTACATGTTTCCGAGCCATTCCATCACCTCTAGGGCCAGAAGCCCAAGCAGAATACAGTGACTGGATATCCTCTTCCGACAACCCGTTCCGACTGAGATCGAGCACCTTCAGTTGCTTTGCAGAAATGATGGCATCAGCGAGTTCTTGGATGGCATGACAGCCAGAAGAGGAGTTTCTCTGGCATGAACTTGCACAGCTCCCGTCTGGGCCGGTCGCTGCACGGGTGTCCTCGTGGACTGCCTCTTCGTCTTCGCTATCCGGCACCTCCATCTTATCAGGGTCTATGTGATCGTTCGCTTCAGCATTGGTACGTTGGTTTTGGTCAGTACCTGGTGATACATCCTGCGCGTCTTCATCGTACTGCAATGTTCTCTGTAGTGCCAGGTTTGTGTTCTCAGCAACGCGTAGTTCCTCCAATTGGTCATTTCCTGAAAGTAGCAGGAGACTATTGAGGTTGATGCATAAGCTTCCATACTTGTTGGTTTTTATGTAGTAGTTGTTCCTCACCTGCTAGTGCTTGAATAATGCCCACGGTGCCAGCAAGCCCAAGATTGCATCTATCAAGGGTGAGAGATCTGAGACTGCATTGGGGATTCGAAAGCAATGCCCTAATAGCATCACATTCCTGCGCCGTATACAGCATAATTTAGTCGACCAAGTTTACCAGAATATGTATAAGTGTATCAAGGCATTCGAGAATAGGAAGGAAACCTCTAGGGTAAAAGAATTGCCTCCAAGGTTCAAGTCAACGATATTAATTTGAGAAAGATTTGTACAGAGTTGCGAGAAATCAGGAGTTGTAAGCCCACAGTTTGATAAATCCAATCTCAGCAATTCTTGTGATGCACAAGAGAGTGCCTCAGTAAGCTTAGTTGCCCCTCCCTACAAAAAAAAAAATCTTCACAGATAAGAAGAATGTTATTTGTATAATCTGAAAATACTAACCATGCGTGGGAAGCAGGGCTGTGTACATCCATTGTGGATGTAGAGGCCGGATTTTAATCCATTTTCTAAAAAAAATGCGTGGGAAGCAGACTCACTGATCCAATGTAAGTTCCACCTAGCAGAAATCCTGATAAGCATGAGGATTGTGCAAGTACACACAGCTTATCAACCATTAACTTACTCAGTTTTATACCAGTCAGGCTTAGTTCTGAAAACCTGCAGTGATGAGATATATGGCTCATCCATTATTTCACTGCACATCTATTCCTAATAGGTATCAACAATGATTGAACAAATGTTTGCGAACCTTTTCAGAGAGGCAAGTTTGGAGAGAAGGCTAAGCATTGTATTTCCAGAAATTGGATTGTTGTTTCCTGTCAAAAATATGAAAGTTTGAAACATAAGAATGCTGTACATGAAACATATCTGATAGTTTTTAACTATGCAGAGCAGGAGTAATAAAAGTACCTAAGGAGAGATGTGAAAGGGCAGACCCTTCATGCAGTGCATCTGCCATCTTCTGAACTGTTCTTGATGTGATAGAACATTGCTCGACATTCAAGCTGTACAGTGCTGTTACGATATGTAAACAGAGCACACATTCTATAAGAGGAAATTAAAGGTTGGTGCCATTAAAGAAAAATATGGCTGGCAAAAACACAGAAAATGCCATAAACAGTACCTACCTTTGCACTTCTGTAGGATTGTGAAAAGGTAAGAACCGCATGCATCTGTGAGGCGATTCCCAGACAGATTAAGTACTTCCAATCGATTAGTCATAACAGCGCACTCACATATCTGTATCAGTAAATAAGGAGTAAATGATTTCAGAATTCTGTTCCTAAAATGAACGTGTGCCTGAAAGCAAGACAGCTTATTTTGGTCCGATAGGCAACGATAGAATAATTTGTTCTGGTAAAGGGTCAACCCTCCAGTTTCATCAGAGTATGGAATTAGAACCATCCAAATGGTTTCAGTTAGTTTTAACAGGATCATTGAGATTTGCGACTAAGAGGGACATCCAATCTCAATGCAGAAAATCAACCAGCACTTGTTATAGCACATTCCCGTTGAGTCTAAACTCTAAAGTAAGTAATAGAGTATAGCTTCTAGTGATCTAAATTTCTCACACAGTAAGACTAAAGAGAGATATCACAAGTTAAATTGGTTTTCGGCTGAAATTCTTCCAGGAACACTAGTAGACGTAAGGACTGCGTGTCGTTCGGGCCTTTCTCGGCCTTGTTAAAAGCATTATGGGACATCTCTCCCCAAGAGTCAAGTTTTCCTTTTTATTGTAGAAGAGGATCCAGTCCATTTTAATGTTCAATTTTTTTGAGCTTTCAAAAGCAGAAATAACTTGTAGTTTCACTTTGATAAACAAGTTTAGGGATAGTAAAAAGACCTGAAATAAAGCAGTTGGACCAAATCGATTACAATGTAAATCCAGTGTCAAGCCACCATATGTTTGGCTTGATGAAGAAAATATTTGTTGAAGCCTCTCAATTGTTTGGTTTCCTGCAGTTCGTGAACATAAACTTTAGTCATTGTAAAAGCATAGAGGAATTAATATGGTACACACACATTTAGCTTGAACTGGCTTTCTGCGATGCCACCAAATCATTGGTGCGTAGATTACATAAGATAAGACAAACTAGGAAAAGAAAGAGATATATTGGAAAAAGCATACCTAGCATATTATGGGAAAGATCCAACACAGCTATTGTTTTATGTAATCTTAGAGCATCAAGAAAAGGTGTGATCGACAGGTCTTGGAGTCCACAATCAGACACAATAACCTCGTCTTCGGAGACCTGTCAAAAAATAGAAAGGCATGAACACTTTGACTCTTCAAAAATAATAAGCCACTTTATAATATTGTCAATCAAATATGAATGATACAAATCTAACAAACTTACTTCAAGATTATATAATTTCTTTAAGAGCTTCTTATTTGGCGCTTCTGATAACTTTGTGCAGAAATCAACATACAATTTCATCAGCCGCTTTGGCACCCAATCTTCATTATAAACATGGTATATTAGATGAGGTATAACTATAGGAAATATGTACATTACACTTCAGTGCGACGCATTGGAATGCAACAGAGAGTTTACCCATGAAACCAAGCACCTATATATGGAGTTTAGTCCATATACGGACCTAAAATGGTATCACCATGCAATAAACATATGCACACCATCAGCATTTAAAAACACATATATAATGCAAAAAAAAAAAGCAGTAACAACTCTAATACTTGATTTTGAGCAGAGAAGTTGAAAGCCTCAATTAGTGAGTTCATATGAGGAGCTTGTTTTGAAGATTTGATGCTAAAATTAGCTATTAATATTATACTAGTATTTAATAAAGACAGTAAACCAGCATGATTGATCCCTTTTTTACTAGTAATAATCATTTTATGTAATGATAGGATAGGAAGGATTCTGAAGTTAAGATAAACAGTAGTTTGCCAGAGATTTCTGCTATTCTGTTTATTGGGCAATCTCTTCTGAATCCCAATGCAGTAACTTTTCTCCTTAATGCAATTATACACAAATCTTTTGTGTCTTCCTTAAAAAAATGAAACCCACTGTAGTGGGTTAGTAGCATGAAGAACAAACCACACTGATATTGTACTGTACTCAGTTCAATCAATGACTTGATGTCCTTCAATGCATAACAGCATATTACATGTCATCAATAAAGAAGGAAAAATCAGAGTGATTACCAATAATAGCATTGATGCAATAATAGCAGTTTTATCAACACAGATGACTACAGGGCAACCATACCATCAATAACAACATCAATGCACTTCTGTTCAGAGGCAAGTTGATCAATATAATCTCGTGAGTCCGTGTCATCTAGTACCTTCCCACAACACTTGAGTTCCCCAATAATAGGCAACAAACCTAGCAAAGCAAGATTAATGTCAGTTCCAACAGAAAAGAAAAAAGTAGTTCCCGAATAATATGAAACTGCAAGTAACGTAGAAACTAAGCCAGCACAACTGTCTCCTGCATCACACTAGGCATGCATTATTTATAGACATAGCTGAAGTAATCATGGAGTAAACCCATAAACATAACTCATAAGAGTTAATGGAAAAAGGCAATGACACACTATTGGCATTCTACATTCTTTCAACAATTAAGACTGCACAGTAATTATAATGACATGGAAACAGCTTTAAATAAGTTTTACAACCCTCCACCTACCACAATTTAAATTAAAATGAAGAAACTATGTTCTATTTCACTGATGAGAACAGCAACAGCGAAATCACTGAATTGCGAATTTGATCCCAATTCTAATGATAGTTCACAGTTATTAAATGGACACACCATGTAATTTACTGAAACTAAGGAGACAAACCTTTGGACCTCTTCTCATCAGGAATCTGAAGATAGTACACGCATGCCACTTCAACTTTAAGACACTCAATGCTAAAGGCACCCTCACATGTACATGCATTTGCATCCAAGTAAACCAAAAGTTCACCAATTTTGAACACCCAGAACTTCTGCACATTAGGATCAATCATATTTCAATCACTGGAATAACTGTCATAATCAATGATAACGTGACTAGAACCATGGATAAATCATTTGAAACGTAACTTCAATATTGAGAGAAAGGGAACATTTAGGTGACTAATTTGCGAGACGAATCTTTTAAGCCTAACTGCTTCTTGATTTGACAATGTGGTGCTACAGTAAACATTTGCTAATGACAGATTAATTAGGCTTAATAAATTCGTCTCGCTGTTTACTGACGGAACATTAATCCTAGGTTGACTACTTGACTCAAATATGATATGAGCATTGTATGAAGCTAATTCCAAAATAACTTGATAGAGGTTGACATGTGGGGTCCATCCAAAATGGTAGAAAAGTGATACACATAGACGGTAGTAGCAGTATCTTTTGAAGGTAGGTCCACATGCCAATGATCCACCAGCGGCTGATTTCTTTGCTGGTATTTGTTAGTGAGCTTGAGCTACACATACGGTAGCTTATCCTAAGGTTTATTTGATCCAAACCTCTGGTCCATGTCACAACCAAAAAGAAATATGCCTTCCGAAAATTAATATTAGTTATCAGAACGGAAAATGTTCAGTTAACATATTCATCTCTTGTAATGTATTTTTGGCATCTTCATGAACATTTAAAGTTAACAGCCAAGGAATTCATAATGGATTCTCTAAAGGAGTGTTTTAGTAGGAACAAAAGCAATGGGAAAGAACAGTTGGTGCCTGCTTTTCATGAGCATGGGAAGACAGGATTGAAAGAAAACTTACATGATCAGCATCTGAGGATTGAAGACCAACAGCATTTTGACATTGGGGCCGACTGTTTGATGCATGTGTACCAACCTTGGAACCACTCGCTGCTGGTTTGGACACAGATAACTTTCCTATGCTAGAAGCTCCTAAATCTGGGCCATCATTACCATGACAAACAGGACTACCAGATTTGAATGAACATATACTTTCCTCAGCAGGGCAGGGAGTGCAAACACTGTCTACTTCTTTGGTCTCAATGGGATGAGAGGTATGCTGCAGATGAACACTGATTATCAGTTTCCAGTGTTTTGTAACAGTAAGTTCTTGTCAACATCTAATGGAACCAATGAGAATAATTGATGTAATGCAAATAATGCATATATTAAATTCCTTCCAATAACAAAGTTTTAAGGGATTAAGTATTGTATAACCTGATTTCTGTTTCTGTTTGCTGCATTTGCAATTCGCTCTGTTGGACACAGAAAAAATGTATCGCACAATTAGAAGAAAAATATTTTGTGCTCCAACAGCAACTACTGAAAGTATGGTGTGCTCATAAGTCAAGAGGCATGTACCTGAGGTAGACAGACTATCTGCTCGACCAGTAAGTGTTCTTTTTGACTGATCAATTTCAGGAGCTTCTTCAGCTTCATCATCTGATATGACAACTCGAACACGCTTTCTACCAGAATGGTTGCTAAATGATTTACTTACAACTTCTTCAGGGCTCCCATCCATGTCACATGACTCATCAACATTCTTCGGACTACTATGTATCTTAGATGCTTTGGTCTTAGATGACTTACTTTTATGAACAAGTGAGGCAAGAACAACATCATCATCAAATTCCTCAGAAATATTATTTGCAATATTCCCATCATTGTCCTCTGTATTGAGGATATTATCAGATACATTGCCATCTTCACTTTCAGTTTCTGAGCAATAGTCACTAACTGTATCCCTTGCTTCATGTTGATCAGACATTCTCTTCAGGCTGTCTATTTCTTGCTGCAGTTTCCTGAAGTTATAGAATATATTTTAGAACAGGTTTTAATAAGTACTTTCTTTGTGCAGAGTATGTGCTCAGTGGCTTACTTCGCTTCTTCAATGTTATCAAATCTGACCATGTGACTGTAATGCATGTTTTCAAGGGCATCTAGTTGCACATTTGAAAGACCACCTTCCACAGAAATTCTGAATACCATTAAAAGCAAGTATCAGAATCCAAAAGTGGCATTAAAACGCCCCAATGGCAAGTTGTATACACTCAGTAGAAGTCTGGAACTATTATCAGATAGATCACACGAATGCAGGCAAAGGACAATATTGATATGGAATTACAAGAGCATGGCATAGAGACATTGCCTGTATGCTTCTTCATAAGCTTGCAACGCACCAGCCCAGTCACCACAAGAATCAAGAACATTCCCAATGTTCACTTTTGCTAATGCTTGACCCTAAAGTTGCACATATCCAAGGTGAGAAAGATTCAAAAACTGGAAGCTCCAAGTAAATGAGTGCAAGGAGGAAAGTAGTCTTATTACTAGGTAGCAACTAGCAAGCATGCCGCATGGCATCATGTCCATGAATTTAAGGACATGTAATCTCACCTCCAAGTTTCCGATCGATCGATACATATTCCAGCTTTTCATGCACCATTTACGAGCTTTGCTGAAGTTTCTAAGCTTTTGGTAAGATTCTCCTATGACCAAAAGAGAGTTGCTCTGTTTTTCCTTGTCATGGAGTTCATTTGCTACCCTCTTTTGTCCTTTCGAAAATTCCTTCAGCTGGGAAACGAATAGATTACATGAGAATGAGACATGTGTTCTTCTTCAATCACACCTTAGTGCTTTGTCTATTTCGGGGGTATGCATATTCATATTCGACCTGATCTTTTTTTAATTTTGATAATTTCGCATCATTTTCATGTGTTCTATAATCTCAATCCCAGAACTCAAGAAGTACATGAACAATTCATTTTCCAAAACCTAACACCAAAAAATACACCAAACAAAACTCTGCATTGTGGAGTTTTATCTAGCTCTGATAATGATGGCCAATTTCAAACTGTCGGTGTGACAGGAAAGTAAAGATCATTCATTGCCTATACTGTACAAGTGTACATAAGTAATAAGTTTTGCATTGATCATTCAATGTTGATTCTTGTCATAAACAACTCTGACCAAATAAGATAATTTACTAAAGCATTTTCCTTTCACCGACAACCTGACATTAAACATAGCTGACAGCACTACAAAATTGAGCTATTGTTTCTTTATATATTAGATTCTACTAATCGTAGCTGGACTCACTTAGGATGCTATAGTTAATTAAGTTTATGGTTAATCTCAGTTGTCCGACAAGACACACGGGAATCAAGATGACTACTGAAATATTTGTAAGACTTGTAAGCAATTATGTAGAGTAAAACTCAACCAGACAGTCATGTGCAATTACAACACGGTGTTGTGTTCTACGATGGAATATAAATAAATAATAACTGAGCATTTCATGTTGATACTTAGTACAATGCAAATGCAGGCAAAAGCCTACATGTAGTCAGCACATATGTTCATATTGGTAAAGGAGTTGGTGCAAAACAAGTTCAGCACAGTTGAAACTTCAATAATGCAAGCACTGAACACACATGGTTATTAGTTAATGCATATTAAGTTCTAAGTCCAACAAGAAGCTTCACAAAACATCGATACTTCCATCAGGCAAAGCAACAAGAGACTATCTTCTGACCCACACAACAATCCCCCACAATAAAAGACTGAGGAAGTCACCTTTATGCATTAACTAATGGAATAACGTGATCATGTTCTTTTTCTAACAAAACAGTAATAAAATAACATCATAAGCGGAAAATAGATCCAACTTTAAAGTTAATGTTTGTGGCTAAAGATCGCATAGTTAGTTATCCCTCACTTACTTTTGGCCATGCAGTTATCATCCTTGCCTTCTCCATAAGATTATCCAGCCAAGCATACTGCTCAAGGAGGAGCTTCCTCTCTTTAGATGTTCCACGAGCATTAGATGTGTCTCTGACAAGCTTTTTCAGTTTCTGCTCGTCTGTCTTCATTTCCTCAAGTACTTTGGCTGCTTTGGTAACAGTTTCAATATTCTGATGGATTTGGTCCATTAGTGCATCCTCATCTTCCAAGCACTTTGTTATTTGAAGAGCTTTATTGTAACAAAGCTTTGCATCTTCATACTTTTGAACACGGGAATGCACCTCCCCCAGATTTATAAATCCCTTTGCCTCGCCTTGAGTATGGCGTATTTTTCTACATATCTCTATGTCCTTCTCAATATGGCCCTTGGCTCTATTCCAGTTGCGTAGTTCAATATAAACATTACCTAGATTGTGATGGAGCCTACTGCGAGCATCGTCATACTGGTGTACCTCTTCCTCCTCACATATCTTCAGACCCTGAACAAGTAATTTCTCAGCTTCTTCATAATTATCCAGTTCCAGTTCAAGCATGCCCATATTATTGTACGCATCAATAAGCTCCTTTAGGAAGAGAGACTTCTGAGACGATGGATTCTCCTTTAGAACCCTTGCTAGCTTCATGGATGATTTGAAATATTTCTTGGCATTCCGAATGGCACTGTGATCATTTTCAGATCTTAGAAGGATCTCATAGTAAGTTCTGCCAAGCTGGGTGCTAGCTCTCTGCTGCTCAACAAGGTCATCAGCCTCCTTGGCAAGTTGTAAGTGCTTCTTCTGTGAAGCATCAAACATCAATGATAACTAGAAATATGGATTCATGTAATAGAAAAAACATACAGCTGCTTTGGGTTAACAAGAGCATTATGATGAGTGTTAGAAAAATAACCAACAGACAACATGAAACAGGAGATCAGCACTTAATACCATGAGTTGAGTGAACAAATTACTCCAAATGATCATATTTGAACAGGGGTGCTGGTAAGTCTATAACGGGCCTGAGTACACACAACCAGGGTTTACATTACCGTCGGTAACCGCGCGGTTACCGTGGTTACCGCCCTTACTGCGGGGGTACGGTAATAGAAATACCGCGGTAACCTCCTTAAATTCAAATAAATTTAAAAAATAATTTGAATTTTACGGTTTTTCACTATTACCGCGCGGTAACCCCGGCCCCGGCGGTTTGGGAAACCCTGCATACAACACATGCTAACAATTAGCCATTCCCCCTCACTTCACATAAAAGGGTAATCTGATTCACATGGTTGGCTCCTCAAAGGTTTACATGCAAATTAGATGCAACTAAACCAACCATATGGGACAAAACCCATAGGCGAACCTGAGCCAGATTGATTAAGATCACCAACTAACCAAACATGCAGACAAAGAGTGCAAGATTCACAAATATTTTTTTCTCATTTTGGTAATACCACACAAATAAACAGCAGATAAATTATAAATCTCAACACTGGCCATACTGAAATCCATAACATAAAATGTTTGCATAGTCCAGCAAATGATTCAAACCATTTGTGTACATTTCTACAAGCAAAAGTCCACCATAAGTTTGCCAAAGTAAAGCATAATATCGAAGTATGCAGCTTAATCTGATATTCAGTTAAATATTCAAATGCTTGACTAAATCATTCATATACAGATGCAACACCAAATGGCCCAAAGCATAGTGGCATTGAGATGAGCAAAATTCCCTGATACAGTGGTGCGTCAGTGCTAAGGTACGCCGTAGAAACCATAGCGCAGGTTGTAACTAGCAACAATTCGTTTGCCGGCAGACCCCAAAAAAAAATCCAAAAACTCAATGCGGAAATTCTACAACTTAACCCACACCTGCCTATAACGACTCAGACATCAGAAAACGTGATCTGATCATATGCGTGCGATGCGAAATGGAAGGATCGTGGTAACCTGGTAGGTGAGGGCCTCGGAGAAGTTGCCGAGGCGGAGGTGGACCTCGCCGAGCGACTGGCAGGAGGGGAGGAGGTGGCGCTGGGGGAGGTACTTGACGGAGACCTTGTAGTCGATCCGCAGCCACCGGAGCGCCTCCACGTACTCCCCCCGCCGCTTGTGGATGTCGCCGATGACGTTCGCCCACCGCGCCTCCTCCTCCCGGTTCCCCTCCGCCACCGCCTCCCGGTACCCCCGCTTCGCCGCCTTCAGCTCCTCCTCCTCCTCCTTCGTCCACCGTCCCCCGCCGCCGCGCCCCATCGCCGCCGCCTCCGCCGCCGCTAGGGCTCCAGCTCCAGCCCGATTTTCCCCTTCCTTTTTTTCTCGTGCGGGTTTTGGGGTTTCGGGTGGGCGCAAAATGGAAGCGAATTCTCCCGCCAAAATATTGGGGAAGGCAAAGGCACGGCACCGCGCCATGTTGTTGGGCTGCGTTTCTGTGTGGGCCTTCAGTGAAATGACAACGTGGGCTCCAAGCTGATTTGGGCCTTTGCATTTTGGGCCAAAAGAGAAGCCCTCTGAATTTCAGGTTAACCGAGCATTTGAAAGTGCACTCGTAGGAACATATTGATATTGCTATTTTTTTTATGGACTAGTAATAATACTCGTGTTTTGTAAGTGTGTAACGGGCTAGGCACATAATTAAGAATTGATTGGGTCTGTGGGAAGGAAACAGATGGAGAATAATAGTAAGATAATAATGAACACAATGTTTAGTTTATACTCCCACCGTCCCAAAATAAGTTCAATTTTATACTATTCATACCCAACATTTGACTTTTCGCGTTATTTGAAAAAAACTTTAATTTTGAATGATTAGTTTTTTATTATTATTAGATAATAATAAAGCATGAATAGTCTCTTATGTGTGACTATCTTTTTTTAGTTTTTTTCATAAATTTTTTAAATAAGACGGACGGTCAAATGTTGGATATTGATACTCACGGCTGCACTTATTTTGGAAAGAATATATACTATATCAGTACAACCTATTGGAGTTAACTAGAATTCATACACGCGTGGGAAAGAACGGCTCTGATCAGCTGAACCTAGTCTGAAATACCGAAACGACGAGGGGTTTTCTGTAAAATTCAATGGCGTAGATCGGCTGAGCTCGCGGTGAATCTAGCACGTTTAAGATATCTAATATTCCGAGACAGTGTAATTTGGCTTTGCATAGCAGCCAGCCAGCCACAGGAAGGCAAGCCAAACGGGCCAGCACTTGTTCACCGCGCAGTGCTCGTCGGCCGCCAGCTCGCGCGGTCGCGCCCATGTCTCTAAACTCTCTCTAGATCAAAGGACACAGTTTTTTCTAAAAAAAAGTTCATAGTAACTGCAGCTTTTTCTAAAAAAAAATTAACTCTTCCATCTATGTGTTTGAGAGAAGAGAAAATAAAAGGACTGAAAATATACACAAAATAAGATAAGCTATTAGCTATTAGCATGAGAATAATTAACTATTAGTTTTTTTACGAAACTATTAATTGTTTTAGACTTAAACTAAATTAATATATTTTTAAGCAACTTTCTTATATATAAAACTTTGAAAAAATACGTACCATTTAGCAGTTCGGGAACATGCGTGTGAAAAACTTTTATACTCTATCCACCGATCTCAAACGTAGCCAAATACTACAGATTTTCGTTTATATACTGAAAATTTGTAGTCACATAAAAAATATATATGTCAAAAGCTGAGAAACACATTTTTCAACTTTTAGAACTAACTATCAACCAACCACTACTTTGTTCAAGAGTGGGAGATTGTGAGTTGTTTTCCACGTGCACGCTTCCCGAACTATTAAACGGTGTATTTTTTGTAAAAAGAAATGCTATAGAAAAGTTGCTTTAAAAATCATATGAATCCATTTTTAAAATTTAAAATAGTTAATAATGAATTAATGATGTGCTAATGGTCCACCTCGTTTTGCGTATCTTCTCAATCTCCTCAATTCCCCTCCTAAAGGGTATGTTTGGTATAACTTCAACTCTTAAATTTAGCTTCAGGAGTTGAGTGTGGAGTGGAGTTGTGGAGCTGATTAAACCTAACTACACCTCTCTAGTTCATCTTGTGATAGTGTTTCACCCAGCTCCGCTTCCATTTTAGGTAGAGCTAAAACTGTTTGCCTGGGCTACCGCTCTAAAAGAAATAAAGCTATAGCTAGAGGTGTGCCGAACATACCTTTAGGGGCTGTTTGGTTTTTAAGTAACATTACCATAACTCACTTTAGACAATGTTAGGCAAGTGTGGCTGACCACGCTTTTCGTGGCCTACAAATTGTAAGCCACACTTGTGGCAAAGCTAGGCAAAGAATTGAGTCTATGACATATAGGATAAGATGGTAAGAAAGTGTAGCTTGTCATAACTATGGCAATAAACCAAACACAAGGTTAAAGAGGTGTGACAGTCTAAAGTGTGGTCTGGCAAGTTAAAGTATTGAACAAAATAACCCCTAAAATCTTATACTCATGTAAGGCATGGGACAAACCGATCGAGTGCAAACGGTCATAGTAGTAGCTAGCCACGTTACGTAAAGTTACAGCGCGCGTGCGCGCGGCGGCGCGGCAGCTCTTTTCTCCGCGGCGGCCACGACGAGCGTGCTGCCAGCCGGTGATGAAACGATGATGTCGGCACAGCGCGCGTGGCGTGCGAGTGAACCGTACGTTGCTCGATCGATCGGTTGCTCTCGTCTCCGAGATTCCACCGAGCCTAGCTCCGTAGCTCGTGCTCGTGGTCCATCTATCCCGCGTTAGATTTTGTCAATCTATGGTCAATCGTCATGGTCGTCGGCCGCTAGCTGCCGTACGTACGTTTGTAGTAATAAAATATGCAGTGTCGATTGACGTCGATGCAAAGCATTTTTCGTAGTTTTGCTGCGTTGAAGGCAGCCAACAATTGATTTGTTAATATTTATAGTATTAAATATATAATATTTTATATATTTTTTATTTATTTTAAGATGAAAGGAGTAGCTAGTTTAGATGCCAATTTACGGTGTAGCCAGTAAGGCTTTGAAATTTTCTCACGTCATACATGTATATAGCCTTTTTTTTTTCTTTTTACAAGACCTAGCGGGCGCATTATAGTCGACATTGTGTCTGTATGTACAGTGTCGTACAGTACATTGCAGCAGCAAGATATAGAAAATGGAAAAGAACATATTTGCCTTGTTTAGTTCCAAACTTTTTCTTCACACTTTCAGCTTTTCTATCACATCAAAACTTTACTAAACACATAAACTTCCAACTTTTCCATCATATCGTTCGAATTTCAATCAAACTTAAACACACCCATTATATATGTCGAGCGTGTACTTCCTGGAATCGGCTGTAATAAAAAAAAAGCTATGCCCTCTTTGAAAGGCGCGACAAAGAAATTGAAAGCATCGCTGCAACTCTATGCAAGTTGTCAAATAAACATGAGCCCTGGTATTGGGCATATTTGCAAACGGAATCCCATCGAGAAATAAGTTAAAAAGTATATTTGCATAAAGAACAATTTATGAATAAAATTATTATATACATGTTCTTTAGTGATTTAAAAGTAAAGACTGAAAAATAAACTACGATAAAAAAACCCAACTAACTTTAAATTGGTTGAAAATTTATTAAATTGGTTGAAAATTTAAATTTTGACTGATAATTATAAACGTAAACGAAAAAACGAGGCGTATGTTACCAACTACTCGCTAGGTTCTTTCGCCCTGATCTTCTGTCAAAAATGGAGGGCCCTGAGATAGTGAGATGCCGACGCCGCCGGCCAGCCGGCTTCGGCTACTACTACAGTACTTGTCGCCAACCTGCCAATTAACTGGTTGCTCGATCGCCTAAGAATTAGCTTCACAAGTTCGGATGCTTAACTTTCCAGCTGGTTATTGTTCAGAACAGCAAAATGACCACTCGTTTTCTTGTTAGTTCTGCAGCAATAGACAGTGGCTGTTACTACATGATCCATATACTTTATTAATTAACCAGAAGAAAAGGAGCTGGGGGAAAATGTTACATGAACATCGTATTCAAGATTAGGTGAACTGAAACATTCAAACATGCACGCTAATGCTAGCTCCAGAAATTGTTTGATGTTTTCCTGAAGAACAAAAAGGGACTCGGCACGATGTCTGAAGAAGCTGCAGGCACAATTACACGCGCGTCGTTGGATAGAGTCAGTCGACGAGATGACTAGAAAGTAGAAACTGGACTAATCCAATATGTAAACAAGCGTGTCTCGACTTATAGACTTTTGCTGCTGCTGGCTTCAACGATCGATGTCACCTTGCTGGCTGGCCTACTTAGTAAAAGAAAACGACTGTGTTTTTGGTGGTCATAACTAATTAGGCGAGACACTGATGAACCAAAAACAATGTAACAAAGTCGCAGTTCTAGCTGCACTTAACACAGATTATTTAATTACCTCACCTAATTGCTCGGAGAAAATCTCGGCAACAAAGCCTTGTCGCAAAAGCCAGAGTAATAGCAGAACCGATCTTTCTGGGAGCAACTGATACTTTCCAGGAAATCTTTTTTAAAAAAGGATAGTACTACTAGTATTAACACGTTGTTCAGATCATGCACACGTCTTTGCAAGGTAAAAGTATGAGTAAAACACAAGGGAACAAAAGCAAGATAGGGTGATTAGCAACTTCCAGGTAACCGTTTTGTCTCCTCTCGTTAACCAGCGACCGAGATTAGCACACGCCACACGCGCCACTAGCTTTGAGCGGCGTTCGGCCGAGTTCTAAAGAGCCACTCAGAAAAGTCTACTTTCTTATTTCTTACGAAGAAATTGTTATACATATGATCCAACTATTCGACTCACGTACGACTAAATTTAATCGACGACTATAAACAGCTACACTGCGTATAAACATGTTCTTTTTCGATTGATATATGTTTGCATGTATCTAGTTATATAGAAGATATGTTTCATGTTAAATTATTTAATATAAATACTTTTTAAAACATATCAAATAAACATTTTTTTTTCTCGTGTCACGTTTCGCCGAAAATCAGGGACGAACTTCTTTGTCCCAGCCGTTTTCTCCGCCAGACAGCCAAGGCGGAAACGTGCGGAGAAAACGGCCGGAGAAAAGGCCGGAAAGACCAAAGCAGTAACGCAACGCGATGGCTATCAACAGGGTGGCAACGCGATGCACGCACGCACCAGCAGCACACACGCTCCACGCAGCAGCAGCAGCGAGAGAGGAGATATTTTTGGTCTCTCGGGTGGTTGGGGCATGGAGGATACTAGTACTAGGTACAATTCATCAACTGGTCACATAAAAAACGCATCAGTTTGCTATTAATTTTAAGTGCATGCATCTACCGTGACTTGTTCCATGGAGGAACACTGCAAGTACAGTGTCGTGTAGTGGACCACATTGTGAGGAGGTGGTGGTTAATTTGGGCTTAATCCCTGGAATTTTTTGATTGAAACCTATAGGTCCTCAGTTTGGTGCATTATTACAGATGAGATCCTCTTCTGAACCTTAATTAGTTAAAGAAATATGGGAAAACCTTAATTAGTTAAGGAGATATGGGAAGTAGGGTAATATTAATAAAAAGATCACGCGGAATGATTTTCATAAATGATTAACCATGAATAATATTTCGAGGTTATTATTACTCGTAGTACTCCCTCCTTCTAAAAGTTTAACACCTATTTCATTCTTTGGTTTTTCCAAAAGTCTAAGTCCTATTTGTAGTTATTATGTACTAAATTAAATTGTTGATAGGAAAAAAAAGTATTTTAATACTTATTTGTTGCATGTTTATTGGCTTTGTCATATGATAAATGAATTAATTGTTTCTTGTTCTTGGTGAAAAAGAAATAGGACAATTTTTTTTTGAAGGAGGGAGTACTACGTACTACTCCCTCCATTCCAAATTGATCTACATATTTTATAGGTACACTAAGACCAAGAAAAGCTAATAACTCTCTCATATTACATTTACTCTAGCAACAAATTCAATACATGCACCATCATCACTATTTTCTAGTCAATAGCAAATCGAGATATTGCATGTGGGTTATAAATACTTGTGTGCATGGATGCATGCATCAATGTCCATTTACTCTAATGCACAAATAACGAATAGACTTAATGAATGAACACAAATATGTAGATCATTTAAGAATAACCCAAAAAAACTATATATAGATCAATTTGGAATGGAGGAAGTATCAGTTTACTCATGATTACGCTAATTATTCCACTCAATTCTCACTTTCTCAGTGCCAGCAATCAATGCTAGCCAGCCTACTCCGGCAGTCGATGCATTCAATATTCAAGGAGTAAAACGCAAAAATGAATAAACTGAAGGTGCAACATTGTAAAATGACCTTCTCCGAAGGGGCGAACTGAAAAACTCCAAAGGCAGCACAAATCTCGTCCGTACCTGCCCCGCTTCTACCCAAGCGCCTTCCGCTGCAAGCATCCACTGGCTGACAGGTGGGCCCCACCACGTGCCCCTCCTCCACCTCCCGCCATATAAAAACCCCAAAGCCCCACCCACCCACGCTTCTCTCCAATATTTTGTCGAACCGATTGAGGGAAAAAAAAAGAGAAAAAGAAAAGAAAAAAAAGAAGAAGAAGAGAGAACTCGAACTCTCGCCTACCATTTCGCCCCCCTCCGCAAGCAATCCACCACTGCATCGGCGGCGAGGGCTCACCGGCGGCGAGCCATGTGCGGCGGCGCCATCATCCACCACCTGAAGGGGCACCCGGAGGGGTCGCGCCGGGCGACGGAGGGGCTCCTGTGGCCCGAGAAGAAGAAGCCCAGGTGGGGCGGCGGCGGGAGGCGCCACTTCGGGGGGTTCGTGGAGGAGGACGACGAGGACTTCGAGGCCGACTTCGAGGAGTTCGAGGTGGACTCCGGGGACTCGGATTTGGAGCTCGGGGAGGAGGACGACGATGACGTCGTCGAGATCAAGCCGGCCGCCTTCAAGAGGGCCCTCTCCAGAGGTATGGGCGTCGCTGGGAGCGGCTTGATTTGTGTAGTTTACTTGTTCTTCAGGGATTGATTGCTGTTGTAAATCGTTAGTTCTACGGCCGATTGGGAATTTTTTTGGGGATCGAGGACGCTCGGTGGATGGATTGGGAGGAAAAAAAGGGGATAGATAATTTTAGGGGTTGATCCTGAGAGATCAGATTTGGGGTGATACTCCTGTTTAATTGGTGATTTAGGGTGGAATGATGTGCCTCCATGTCTTATTTGTGGTGATCAGGGCTTCATGTGCTGATTCTGTCTGCTAGGATTTTAGAGATGCCATTTCAGCTCTTGCACTGTTCGATCTTTTTTTTTTCTTTTTCTAAATTGCGCAATCCATATGATTACCTTTTTCTCCAAGGAGTTGAATTCGCAGTAAAGGGGAAATTATTCTCCGTTCTCTTTGGAGGTCTCCCCATCTGGGTTCTTAGTTGTTAGATGGATGACCCTAGTATCGCTTGATGTGGTTGTATGATTGCGAGAGGATTGTTCCGGACGTAATTCAACTATTAGTCGAAGTAAAGGATTTTTATGATGTTGACTGTCAAGTCCTACATGCCTTAGCATATACTCCTGGCTGTTTAGTCGTCCTGGTGCCTGTTTTTGGTTCTATCTTTCGGTCAATAGCGTCAAATCATTTTTTTGTGGTCTTTGTTGGCCTCTTTTGCTTAGACATACTAGTTCATTTTATTTATGGGGATGTTACCTCTTGTGTAAATTGTCTAAATCGGTTGTATCTAGTCAGTCGTGTGAGCTAAACCACAGATCTTTGTTGAAGTGTTGCAACTCAGTTTTGGTGTTCCTTGTTTACAATTAATGTTGCTGCAGCATATTGATGTTAGTCCGTAAAGCACAACTTTAGACTGCAATTGCAGAAATGATGAGGTCCATTCATGGGTTTTTTTTCCTACAATCTTGAATTTCATGATTTGAGATATGCTTTCCTAAAATTTGAATGTTTATACGCATGGTTGCATGTTCCAACTTCATGTTTGTGACCAAAAGAAAATAACATCAGCAAGAGAAGTTCATCTGTGTAATTTCTTGCCATTGATGTTGACCTTCCATTGCAGATAACTTGAGCACCATTACCACTGCCGGATTTGATGGTCCTGCTGCAAAGTCTGCCAAAAGAAAGAGAAAGAACCAATTCAGGGGCATCCGCCAGCGCCCTTGGGGTAAGTGGGCTGCTGAAATCAGAGATCCTCGCAAGGGTGTTCGTGTCTGGCTTGGCACTTTCAACAGTGCTGAAGAAGCTGCAAGAGCTTATGATGCTGAAGCACGCAGGATTCGTGGCAAGAAGGCCAAGGTGAATTTTCCAGAGGCTCCAACAACTGCTCAGAAGCGTCGTGCTGGCTCCACCACTGCTAAAGCACCCAAGTCAAGTGTGGAACAGAAGCCTACTGTCAAACCAGCATTCAACAATCTTGCCAATGCAAATGCGTTTGTCTACCCATCTGCTAACTTCACTTCAAACAAGCCGTTTGTTCAGCCTGATAACATGCCATTTGTTCCTGCAATGAACTCTGCTGCTCCTATTGAGGACCCTATCATCAACTCTGACCAGGGAAGCAACTCATTTGGCTGCTCTGACTTTGGCTGGGAGAATGATACCAAGACACCAGATATTACATCAATTGCTCCCATTTCAACCATAGCTGAAGTCGATGAATCTGCATTCATTAAGAGCAGTACCAACCCAATGGTCCCTCCTGTTATGGAGAACAGTGCTGTTGATCTGCCTGATTTAGAACCCTACATGAGGTTCCTTCTGGATGATGGTGCTGGTGACTCAATTGATAGCCTTCTCAACCTGGATGGATCACAGGATGTTGTCAGCAACATGGACCTCTGGAGCTTTGATGACATGCCCGTTAGCGATTTCTATTGAGGAATTCGAAGTCTTCTAGTCGGAGCATGTACACAGGGAAAAAAAAGGTAAGGATTATCAATTTGATTTTTTCTCTCTGAATATGCACGATTTTTTACATTGCTCTAATTTTGCTTGTGTTTTTCAGGAATAAATACTATTGGAGATTGGGAGGCACCTGCATGGCACCTTGGGGGTAGCATATCGTTATGTTTAGCTTAGATGCAAAAGGCTGCATCCTGAAACTCTTTGGTGATTGGACCTGTTCCCTATCCGCTGTCTATGTATGGCAGCCATCTATGAGACTCAAGAACTGCTTTTTTTTTTCCGTTCTAGTTTTCTGTCGTTGCTACCTGTATATGGCTATGAACATCGTGAATCCATGGCCATTATGTTTTAATCTATGTTGTTGACTGCTCTTTCTTTCGGTCTTTGCTGTGCTGCGCTATGTTGGTGATAACTAGCTACCATATTGATTTTCTGTACATAATTCATTTGTTGAATCCGAAATTAAATAGTGCATTGACTATATATTTATATATTATATCTTGTTAGATTGCAGCCTTGCAGGGTTGTTGCTCTTGCTACTGGGCGCGTGCCATCCAGAATCAGGATTTCTGGAAAGATGCTTCACTTCCTCTTTTCTTGATGTGAATAGGCAGTATGACCGGCCAGGTATAAGCTTTGTGATAACAAGAGGGGTATTTGGCACATGTTGTCACTTTTTCTTCTCGAGATATTTTTGTTAAGACTATGACTAATTCAGAGCGAAGACCTACGAGCTTCGTGACTGTTAGATATTTTTTAAGAAGGGCGAAATTTCAATGAATGTTTAACTGCAGCACTATTCTAGATGTCTTTGGTCCAAGTCAAAATATCCTTGCATCACACTTGGATCATGGTCAATGTCAGTACAGTCTTTACGAGTTGTGGACTTGTGGTCCCATGTCATGGTGGTTGGTCGTGATTTGATGCCGACATGGTTGCGCTTGCGCATCGCATTCTTGATTTGTTACGGCTGGGTCATGCCCTTTTCCTTCTCTCGCATCATTTTTTGCTATCCTCATAAATCACATGGCTTCCCCTAAAGACAAAAGGATTATCAAACGTGGTGGCCACTAGTGTTCCATCAAGGGAGCATCACAAGCCAAACACTACCACCGTTTGTCTCCCGTTGGCCAGGGTCATTGTGCGGGACAGAGCGAGACAGCTCTACCTAATTACCTAAAGCTTGTTAAGATTTCAATAGGCTGCCGTTGTATATGAACCCTTCAACAAGTTTAGAAACTTTTGAGTGAGAGAGCTTGTGCAATGCATGTTCCTTCAGCTGCACCAACTTTGACTTGCCTCTCTTGAAGCTCTAATCTCACCTACCTTCGCTAGAAAACTGAAAACTGAGGTTAGCATCGAACTCTGGGTGCGGCAGGTTAATCACAGGATCTAATCTGATGGTTCGCTCCTAACACATTCTCTGTTAGGTTGGCTCCTAATCGTATTGTATTACCTTGTACTGTTGGTTGGGATTCTGATACCGATTGCTGAGCATAGCGAATCATTCATTAAAAGAAAAAAAGGAACATATTCGTTCAAATCTCGAAGGACTAAACATTCACAAGTATTATATGTAGCCTTCACTCCAGATCTCACATGACCTCGAAAACTTTGAGAAATTAAAAATTACAATGGAGGCTGATGAGGAGATGGCATACGCATTTGATTTGAGTGGAGTACCATTTCAAATATCAGAGTATGTTGTGACGACAAGCGCGGATGATAATCAACGAACCAAGCCACATATAGTGGACGATGCTTTACAATCCACCTTGTGACCTCAACAACCCAAAACACGCCAAGCATAAAATAATATTTACATATCAAACGGAATGTTCCCACAATGGTACATTTTTCGAAAGAACAAAAATTATATATCCATATGAATCTACCTCTACTTTCTTTTCAAAAATTGAGAAAAACGCCTATCTACTTGCTCCTACAAGAAAGATGGGAACAAATAACCAGAATGTTATACTTTCCTAAGAGGGCTATGGGATGATGTGGACATATATCACAAGGCGAATGTCTGAAGTTTGCTGTGCCATCTATCTCTTCTCACTCCTAATTCCCTACTCAAATCACCAATTCCCGTCTCATGACCACTTGGAAAAGACAAGTTTTGGCCTTCAAAGTAGCCAACGCGTACCGCGTACATGACACAAGCATCGGGTAATTTTAATACCAAAAGGTGTCTCCGTGGTTAACCCACTGCACGAAATGCTCAGGTAAATTCTGAGTATAGATATCAGCATCTTGATTTTCCTGAAAAGTTTGAAATTTCGCAATTGGTTATGTTATTAGCACAATGATATTGCATATTTGCATACATGATCTCTACCCTACCACTATAAATTCTCACACAATTAATCTCCAGAATTGGTCTGAACAAATTTCAACAAAATCAAAGAACAGAATTTAGCGGAATCGAACTGTTGGGAACATATGCTCACCATGGTCTCAGAATTTATGCCACTTATAACATTCTCCGCTGAAAGGTTCACATCTGGAGTACTAATTGCAATGGACCTGTTCAAGCACAATCCATCAGCATTCAATGAGTTACAAAAAAATGTTTCAGAGGATATCTTCAAATTAGCATCAGTGAACATACTGGAAGCTCAGAAGACACTTGTTAATTGGATTTAGGAAGTGTGGCAACATAATATTTCCATTTTACTCCCTCCGTCCCATAATATAAGGGATTTTGACATTTGCACTGTTTGACCATTCGTCTTATTCAAAAAAAATTGAAATTATTATTTGTTTTATTTGTGACTTACTTTATTATCCACAGTACTTTAAGCACAACTTTTCGTTTTTTATATTTGCACAAATTTTTTGAATAAGACGAGTGGTCAAACGTTACAAATAAAAAGTCAAAATCCCTTATATTATGGGACGGAGGTAGTACTTCTCAATACATATAGTTATATCAAGTGATACAACACGATACTACAGATTTGTGTTTATTACATGGAAATGCAGTGAGAGCAAAAGAACTCTAGAATTTAGATTGATATGGAATTAAGCATTAAGGGTAAGAAATTTACTGGACAATCAACTAATAATTATCCTTCACTTTTTCCTACACTAAGGCAAAGAAAATGTGTGTAAATCAAATTGACTGTCACTGTGAAGATGATATTCTGTCAGTCGAAAACGCTAAAAAAAAATACATTAGCAATGCAAAAGCAAACACCTTTCATCGCTTGAGTTGCCTGAAGTTGAAAGCCATTCAAGATCCAGAAAGTTTGAATCACCAGAATGAATGCTACTTTCAGTTTCAACGCCGCCTGGAACATGATGTGTCTGAGGTATCATAGGTGTATACCTGTAGCGAATTTTGAGAGAGGAATTAAGGTCTCAAATACAAATGGTAGTAGTCCACTATTTAAAATACCATGCTTTTTCATGATTTTCTAGTAAAATACTTGTATGAGAAGAGTGAAGGTCAAAACCTTGAACGAATAGAAACCAACCTTAAGTTTGATACCTCACTTTCACAGGTCAATGAAATTTCATTGCCATGTACTGAATCAGATTCCAACACTGGAAATTGTGACCCACTTTTAACATCAAGCGGTGCTGCATTCAACAGCTCCTTGTCTTCATTATGGCAACCACTACATCCAGATATGGATGTGTTGCTTCCATAAAGAATGCTGCCATCTGATCTCACTCTTTTTATTGTACTGTGGAATTAAAGAAAACAGTCAATGGTAAGAACCCCTTACTGTTTTACAAAGTGCATATTTCAGTACGGATTATTTTTGTTTTCTTCGAACGTAACAAGCAGGGAAGCTACAAAAGGTAATAAATGGCTAAAAGCTCTCGTTTAAATAGGAACAAGCATCCTGCTACAGTTCAAAAACGTTTTGGAATAGCAAAACAGCATAATATGCAACTCCTAACTATGTTTTCGCTACTGCGCACCATTGACTCCTGTACCATGATTTTAAACTCCCAAGGATGTTTTTACCAAAAGTTGTGTGTTCCATAACAGCATATCATCAGGAGATCTTAGTCCATATTCGCATAGTATACAGAGCAGTGACATATCAGGTAGCACAAATGATCATCTCAAGTTTTTCAATGGCATTTAATACTGCTACCTTTTAATTTTATAAGATGAAAATAAGAACATGATATTCTACTTGTCAATTATTTCACATGCGAAAGGGAGGAGCATGCAGCTAGGGCAAGCTAGATGCTTATAGATTTTAAATTGTAAACCATTTATTTGGATAGCATGCATTGATAAGCACTGGGCATATTATTCATTACCGGATCGCATCAGGTCGCTAGGACAATAAATAGGTGAATCATATGTTTTAACGAATTTTGCGAGTATTTATAGAATAATCCCAGCAAACATCAGTAATATTAGAACATCATCAACAAACTAGTACAACCTGCAGATCTAATTTTAATGTATTGCATGGTCATATAGACGAATATTCTTAAGCTTACCGTGCGTGCACAGCGATATGATCCACTGAAGATGACTCTAGCTCCCAGAGTGCAGGTTTTCCTTCCTGTGGTTGGAAGTAGCCAAGAAATCTGAAATACACAATGGACAAAAAAACAAGTCATAAATAAATGTAAGAACAACGACCACTGTTCATATTTTGGTCAGACCAAGTGTTTCTGATTAGTGAGCACATGCTGTAAACCATACAAGTTTATGGCTGCTTGCTTGTTAGCATCGATACAGGTATTGCTGTAGTGCCGTTGTAGTGTTCTGAAGAACTCTTGTGATCGAATAAAAAGCTTCAGATGACCTCTCTTTGCAGAGAATATCTTCAGAAAAAGATCACAGTAAAGAGAAATTAGACAAATGTTCAGCTAAAATGAGAAATAGAACACCATATGAAATAGAGAAAATAAAAGATGTGATGTCAAGCAAAAGGGCAAATATACTCTACTGAAGTTTAGTAATAGAACAGAAGTGCAGAATCCACCAATGTCCTTCAATGAGAAAGAGCCTTACTCTTATCATTGTCCAACTGAAGCTAAGCAGGTTTGTCAATATAAATGTTGATTTCATAATAAAGAAAATCATGCAAGGGAAGTTCTTTTATGCGTGTTAAATAATTCATAGTGGAAGTCTGAAAGATAAGAAAAAGGAAGCACTTTAGTGAGCTCAAATGCTACTTAAGCTATTAAATCTTAAAATCAAATGCTGTAATTCCCTTCCAGGCAGCCATGACAACCAAAGAATATCACTTCTCCCTAGAATAACCCAATTATACCATTTTTCCTAATTTAATCCATGATCACCACATGGGAGCACCAACAGTTTATCCTGCTGCTTGCAGTACTTCAATAATTCTCAGAAAAAAATGGATTTCCTGTTAAATACCTTGTTATGAGCAGCCGAACCACTGTATTGCACCGCAAGGGTGTCACCCATCCTCTCATAAAAGTGCATCAAATGATGAGCCAAGGGGTCATCTAAACCAAGTTCTGGGGATTCTACAGAACCAAGCACATGCAACTGATGTCCAAGAGCAGCTAAACCATAGGCATACTGGGCAACATTTGTTCGATCCAAGCAGTCTATACAGTTCGTCCGTAAGACACCCTTTTGGAATTTTGGTGGTTTTAGTGGAGGTGATTCGTTGTTTTCAGCTTTATCCTCTGTAGTTCCATTGCAAGAGGAATCAGAGCTGCCAGAGATGTCTTCTTGGGATATGTCACCAACAATTTCCGTACAGTCTGTGTTGTCGCTATTGCTGTTTTCTTCACATAAAAATGGATCAAGACCACTCCTAAAGAAAATGGAATGGAACACATAAATAGGAGCATTAAACCATTATTTGACATATAACGCAACAGAAATCATAACGGACAAATTAATATTGGGAAGGAAAAAAAACTTACAATAGGGAAGGCCAATGATGAGCAGTATCAGATCCGGTAGATGGTGCAAGTTGACAATAGAAGAACTCAGTCAACCTCAGAGCACGGAACGCCACTTTCAAAAGAACATCAAGCACATTTGTAGGTTTTCTAAAACAAAGATACTTCAGTCATGCACACTATAGAATACTGGCAGATGGGAAATGGAAAAAAAAACAACAATCAATACCCTCGAGAGTTTTCATGAAGATCCCAATGCAAGAACCTCAAATGATTTTCCTCTGGTATGTTCTTGTTTATTATCCTTATCGCCCTATCAAATTCACGACGAAGTATTGACTCTCGCCTCTCACGTTTCTTCCCATGTGAACAACAAAAATAAATGTGAGAAGGCATACCAAAATATCATTCATGTCCAGGTATATAAATGTTGCACAAGATGCTGCTACTCTGGAATAACAAGGTCAAACTAACCTTAATCAAGTTTAAAATAATGATAGGATCTCCATATCTTCTCCTAAGATTCTCAAAATGCAGCCTAGTAGCTTCATAATTCTCGCCCTTCTGATGCACTGACCAATTGATAATTTATTTGCAGAAGTTAGTACTGCATGGCATAATATGCATCATAGATAGGTTTAAGAGCTTACATATAATATCAGGTTTAATGTTCATCTTTGATGTCTCCTGTGACCAAAATAGCGGGATTGAACCCCTGTTCTGCACAACAGAACTTACTTCTGTAGGCCTAGGTCCAGCTCCATAAACAATTTGCTCAGTCTCAACATCATTTGCTACTCTGCCTTTCTCATTCACCCCCCTCTTTAAATATCTGTTCAGCAGCAGATAAACTTTTTCACCCCAAATCCTGCTACAATAGTAAGGAAAATAATTGCTTAATGAGCACATGTACAAACCTGGTTCCAGCAAAATGCCTTGAGCGTCTAGCAATGAGCGTGAACATGATGTCCTTCCCGGATATTGAAATTTTATCCTAATGGCACAACATCCACATTTTTAATAATCAAGGCAAAAAAATATATGTAGTAGACGGATAATATTAGGTAATTATATATAATTAGTGAGAAGAAGGTTGGATCAAGATTAAATTATATGAACAACGTGAGCAGCATCCAACAACTTCATTCTGTTAGGGGAATGAATGAATAAAAAAAGGACAACTGAACAACTTCATTCTGTTAGTGGAATGAATGAATAAAAAAAAAGGACAATTGAATTGATTTCCTTCGCATTAGCAAGGAGTTATTTAGAAGGCTCCTACCGAATATTGGTAGGCTGGAAGCTTTTTAAAAATCCAGTCTTATTTTTTAAAAATAAATCCTATTGTGAATAATTCAGTCATTCCTATTAAAAATATTCATAGATGGATATAATAACAACTTCCACAAAACTAATTCCAGTGACACATACCTGCTTAAAAAATCCATAGACCAACGCAACGGTCCACAAAGTACTTCCAAGAAAATTACGTATCCCTTGTGTGAGAAATTCATTCCACACAAAAGTTGACTCATATATGTTCCAGCCTTCCTGTGGATCACTCAAGTTCTTTTGAAGGCTTCTCATGATATGGTATGAGTAACTGAAAAAGAAGTCCTTTCTAAGATCAAGTGTATTCAGTATCTTCTTGTACCTGCAGCATTTCATAAACAATCAGCTTCTAATTTAAGAAATGCAATAGTTAACCGGAAATGAAAAACTAGGAACAGTTTTCCCATAATATATTATTTGGTCCATAAAAACAATATCTAATATCATAATCAGAGTGCTTTTCATGGGGTTGGGTGTCGAACCGAAGAAATTCCCATTGAAATGTGAACTTTGGAACTAGTTGATGAAATGGATCTTCATGTACTGATTATAAAGTTTTTTATGCATAAAGACAGAAAAGAGAAAAAAACTCAAGGCTTGCAGCTGGAACAAACCTGTTCTCATCCTTGGAATTTAGAAATCTGGATCGCGTCTTAGAATTCGCTAACTCGACCATCGAAGTCTTAATCACCTGGTATACTGGATGATCAAATATCTCCCCAATTTTTCGCTGCTCGGTAATAATTAACATGTAAAATGGTCCAACAAACTTTATGAAACCTGCGAAGATATTTCATCATCAAGTGCATTGTAATACAATTAAATTTTGCTAGGGTATAAACAAAGGAGGAGGGGTTGGACTACTTACCGATTATGCCATAAAATTTTGTAACAAACTTTACACCACCAGTCAACCTGTGGTCTTCATCAAGATTTTTTAACAGTTCATGATATTCACTTTGAGTATACACAGTACAACACTCATGTAAGTCAAGGTCCGATGGCTCCGATCTATTAATCTTCAGTAATCTCCAATGTGTTTTGCCAGTGTTAGTTCCAAAAATATAAAACCTCTGCAAAGCAAAATACTTGGTTAAGAATTGTGACCAGAAGCACAAGTTACTGAACAAGGAAATTAATGAAATCTCTGGATCCAAGAACGTTGAGCACCTAAGCTGCAAGCATACTGACCAACAGAGTGATTGTGTACACAGGTGAAATACTTAAAAAGAGATATTGACAATATTTTCACCGAACACCCAGAACATATGAGGCCAAGTCTCTACACAGGAACGTGATTGCCAATTGTGCTAATACGTTTTGTCACCAATTTCATATGCCAACAATCTACCATAGCAGAGTTTCTAGCGATCAGATCATAGCAAAATTCCAAACACAAGAAAAGCATGCAGACTGCAGAGACAGTCAGCCCTTCTGAGATAAAAGAAGGAATTTATAGATATTAGCCTTTTTCCTAAGACTGTGTATTTGCCTTCTGGATCAGCAAAGTTTCAAATATGCTATCTCCAAAAGTCCAAACTAAACTCACAACAAGCAATAAAAAAAGCATCAGCAAAACTCCCCAAGAAATCCTATCAAAACAACAAGCCCAAAATATCCCCAAATCCCCTAAAAACGTTAAGCATCCAATTAGCTAACTCTCCATGTTCATCTGACAACCATTAGAATGTACAAATATTATCCACAAACAATTTTCAGAAACGGCCTTGCACTTGGAACACATATTAGACCGAGCATGTCGAATTAATCCACAAATGAAGAAATTGAAGGCTACGATCTAATAACTACAACAGCCGCAGATATGACGGTAAGCAAATAGCTGCGCAGCACGGCTACAACAAGAAGAAATGACACCTTCCCAATGATCCAAACAGATCAGATTCCCTAACCAAACAGCTCGAAGCAACATGTCCCGCCTCCTCTCTAATCAAACAATCTGGCCTTGAAACCTTCCCCCACCACCACCACCACGACGCCGCAACACCAGCACCAGCAAACCGCGCCGGCGCATTGGGACAACCTTCCCCCACCACCACCACCACGACGCCGCAACACCAGCACCAGCAAACCGCGCCGGCGCATTGGGACACGCACGCAGGACGCCATCCTTACCGACTTGCTCTCGTAGAGCTCGAAGCTCTGCAGGCAGGCGGCCTCCTGCTCCACCGCCACCGCAGCAGCCATGGACGGGGGTGATCCGGGCGGATCACCCGCTCAAATCAACCGCCCCAATCCCCCCCCTCCGCCACCACCGCGGAGACCGTATCACCGCCCCTCCGTCACAGCCGCCGCCGCCGCCGCCGGCCGGAACCCTAAATCCCGTGCCGGAAGCTTGAGGTAGAGCATTCCCCGCCAATCACCGCAGCATCAGCCGACGCCGGTGGCGGCGGAGAACGGCACGGGGCTCGAATCGCGAGCCGTGGAAGCTTCTAGGAGGAGATCCGCGGGAGAAGCGTGGGTGGGAAGGAGGAGGAGGAGGAGGCGGTGGCGACGAGGAGGAGAATTCGCCTCGCGGAGGAGGAGGAGAGAAGAAGAAATCCGTGAGTTGGCGGAGGAGGAGGGCAACAAGATACAGGTTGTTACGGGAAATATTTTGCTCTCCGTTTAAATTTAGCTTTTTGAGTCCGTTTCCCTGTGGAGACGGTAAACTGGATAAGCACGCACAGGGCTGATTTGTCTCCGTATCATCTCCGTGTTGTACTGTCGTACCGTGCAGAGAACTGATGCAAAATAGTGAAATACTCATCCCTCCGTTTCACAATATAAATCATTCTAACATTTCCCATATTCATATTAATAGTAATAAATCTAGACTGTCTAGATTTATTACATTGTGAAACGGAGTGAGTAGTATGCTATTGCGAGCAATTTTTTTCTTGGCCGGAGTAGTTTTTATATAAAGCTTGCGAGTAGTTTCTATACAAAGTTTGCGGGATACTAGTAGAAATGTATAGAATGTAAATAAAAAAAAGATTTGGAATGCTAGACATCCCTCTAAACATTTTTAATAAGAAAGTGTGAAAGTGTGGAGATTGAACACGACATTTCCAAATTGAAATCACACGGCCATCACTGCACTATCAAATAACCTAACATTATTTGTGCTTCTCATTTATTGCCAATTCACCGTGTGAGATGAGTAGTCCTTCTCTAACTATTCTCAGTGGTTTGTTTACATAGGCTTGGTCGCGAAAAAGGAGAGAGAGGGGTTGGGAAAAAAAGTGTCGAACAAAGGTGATAAGAAATTTTAAATGTATGAATATCACTGCCGTTTCGGACATATGAAAATCCCGTTTTGGACATATGTAAATCATACTGATCCCATGAAGGAATAAAATTTATCTGATCATACATGGTAAGTTTAATAATGGATACAGTCTGTGATTTTTTTTACTTTTTGAAATTTTTAATTTTAAAAATAAACACTTTCAAAAATTATTTCTAAAATCTGAAAGTTTTGAGGCAAAATAATGTTACCACGCCAGTCTATTATTACAGCGTTGTCTTGTTGTCACGCCACCTAGGTTAGCGACGTAGTCAAAAGATTTAGATTTTGAAAACAAGTGTTGGAAAGGTTCGTTTCTAAAATTATAAATGGTTAAAAAAATATTTAAAATATGCTGTTTGTATACATGACAACACTCTAATAACAATAGATTAGATTCAAACCGCTCTTCCAACTGTCAAGGTATAAAAACACAACAAACTAAGCACACCATCAAGATCCCAGCGACGTCATCCAAGAACAAAGAAAACGCACAGCTTATTGCGATCGAGACGCTAACCTACTTCCTTCCATAGGAAGGAGCATCTGGTTCGCGGAATCGAAGCTGTGGTCGCAGGTTTTGCAGCTGGTTCGCGCACGACGTCAACGCATACGCGGGGTGGATTTGGCGCGAGCCACCAGAGAGGAGAGAGAGAGGCCGGGCGATTGACCGGGTGGACGTGGAGGGATCCAGTTGGACGAGTGCCTCGGGCTCGGGGTTTGCGTGCGTGGTGCGGGCGCCTCAATGATTGGAGGCAGGCGCTACGTTGCGTTGGTGCGATGCACCGAAAACTTTGGAGCTTTTTTTCTTGGGTCCACATCCTACACGAGAGCCACACACGGTGGGCGCCAATTGTATTTGTCCCTAGATCAAAGAATCTATAGCTATATATGAGTATATTTTTTCTAGGACTTTATCTGCATATATACAGTGATGAGTTTATAAAGACTCGTACCATAATTTGGGGTTTAATTATAGCAAAGGGCTTAGGGTGTGTCTAGTTCACGCTAAAATTGAAAGTTTGGTTGAAATTGGAACGATGTGACAGAAAAGTTAGAAGTTTGTGTGTGTATGAAAGTTTTGATGTGATGGAAAAGTTGGAAGTTTGAAGAAAAAATTTGAAACTAAACAAGGGCTTATTCCAAATGTAGGATAGGAAGACACAAGAACATTATATAGTTACATGAGCAAAATATAATAGCGTCCATCCTATGCCAGCCAACGGGGTCGGAGTAGCTGTTTTGAGTCCCGCGAAATTCCTATTTTCACATAATTGCTACAGTATTCCTTCGAAATTCCTACACTCGATTCATGCGAACCAAAATACATAAACAGTTAAAAAAACAAAGGAATTGCCAGCTCTACGAAAATCCTATGAACCAAATGAGTTCTAAATAGAAAGAGCGATTATTATATGAGCTAGTTGTTGCATTGGCTATACTCCAATATATGACAAATTTATAGTAATAGAATGTATCACATCTAATACTATATTTGTTTATTTAAAAACAGATGGAGTATATATGTTAGGTGACATATATTGCTATTGACTTGTTACTACATTTTTCTTGTATAAAAAATGGAGCGGTACAATTTTCAAATTAGTTATTTTATCTTGGATTGGCATGGTACTCTACCACGCAATTTGCATGGTTTAACAAAACACGGATGGTTCCTTAATTAGTCGTACATGCTAGAAAGCTAGATGCACAAGCATTCAGATGTATATACGTAAGTACTCCCTATAAATAACATTAAGCAATCTCCCTATAATATAAATTAATTAATACGACGTACTTCTTTAATTAATTTGCGCGTTGCTTAATGAGCTCGATCAATAGGCCGTGATCTCTCTTTTTGTGACCATGTGCTACCTACACGGCATTTGCTTAGCTTAATGTGCTCATCTTCGACTGCATTAATTAATAATTAAGCAATCGGTTTTGATGGTGATCTACCTATAGCGACAACGACGACAACAGAGAGAGTTGACGACGACAAAAGAGCACCCATAATAGTTATCTATAGGCTATCTATAAGAGATCCATATCAGCATATTATCTAACTTGGAAGAGATTAAATGAAGAGAGAACAAAGCTATCTACTAACCTAGAGATAGTCTATAGAGAAAAACGAGACAATGAATTAGAGAGCTATAAATACACATGTAGACACATTATTGAGGTGGTTTACTATTAATCTAGTCTATTACTGAGATATACATATTTTATAGAGAGCATCTTACTTTACCATTGTAGATGCTCTCTAAGGGAGGTTCACTGTAATTTGATCGAGTCTAGCTTGCACGAGTACGCGAAAACAAAGTGATTTAATACACCACTGATGATTCACATGCGATATAAAACACACGAACGAAGAACAGGTAGACGACAAAGACGATGTGCATGCAGAAACGCCGTACACGTACAACAACAGTGCCGATGATGTCGTACATATGTGATCGATGTGATGTGCCATGTGTGTCCAGGGCAATCGAGAGATATTCCACACAAATATAATTCCATTGTCCAGACGGCTCACCTAATTAATTAAGCACACTATTAAGTACAGGAAAAATTACAAAAACCACCTCATAAGTCGCTTGAAGTTTAAAATTCCACCAATAAGTTAATTATTTTGTTACAAATGTTTATCCATATATTTAGTTTTGTTGCAAAAATCATCCCAACATACACATGCTTAACCGAATCAATATCTTTTAATAAATGCTCCCTCCGTACTCGTAAAGGAAGTCGTTTTGGACAGCGATACGGTCTCCAAAACATAATTTTGACTTCTTGTTTCTATAAAAATATTTATTGAAAAGTGATATATGTATACTTTTATGAAAGTATTTTTTAAGAGAAATCTATTTATATAATTTTTACATTTTTCAAACTCAACAACTTGAGAATTATTTATGATTTATATTCTTAAGGTTTGACTTAAATATTGTCCTAAACGACTTCCTTTACGAATAGGGAGGAAGTACTTCCAGAGTCTTGATACTTTTTTTTTGAGATTTCACAAATAAAATTGCTGACAATAACTTAAATGTTTTTTTTTTGCAATTTTAGGGTTGTTTTTGCAATTCTCAAACTTCAAGTGAATTATAGGGTTGTTTTTGCAATTTTCCCTTAAGTATAACTACGTATGCATACAGAGTACAGATACACAGGCTATTATTAGCACGTGAGAGTTGATGTCCACGTCATGGATGTCGTAAATCGATCTGTTTCGTCGTCACACACCTTGCAGTAGAATCGATCGATGTCGACATTATGATGTGATATAATTAATCGACACCTGTTCATTTTAGTAAAATTTGTTTTTATTGCATGAATCCCATTCAAACGGGAAGGGAGCTAGCTAGCTGGCAATCCAATATTTGCATGCTTCCAAATTCATATGTGGAAGTAAATTTTCATTTCAATCAAACGTGACCGAGAGTATAATTAAGTGTTTCTTTGCTGAACTACGTTGGAACAAGTCCATAGAAAAAAATGATATGATATGAAAAACATGCATATAATCAATTTTTCTCTTCTGTTGTTTATTGTTCTGGTAAATTTTGCTCTAGATCATTTGTGGTTTGTTGGTTCTAAACTATCGAGGGAATATCCATTCGTTGTTTGCATGTTATCTAAATGGTTATGAAAAAAATTCAACGAGATCGATTAATATGCGATATTAAACATGTGTGAGTGATGCACATTTGAGGCTAACCTCCTCCATTGTAGGTATCATGTATCACACAAGTTAGTTATTCACATTATTGATATGACAGCAGATAATTGATTTGCATAAGATTCAATTGCACAATGAGTACATTTAAATAGTACTATGGGTTTTTCTGTTCTTCAACATATTGCTATAGATATGCATTGACATCGAGAGCCTATGGAAAATATTTCTATAGATATTCATTTGTACTGCTGACTATAACAGGCAGTACTATTTCCATGTGGATGTTTCATAACCACAAAATTAAATATCATTTCCTGATTGATTCGTACAACTGTGCATTCACCGCGAATAGTGCACACAGCTTATCGTTCTCATACGAAAGACTATTCATATATATAAGAATAAACAACAAAATAATTGAAGAATGCTTATATGGTTAACAATATGCAACGGCCGGTTTCACATAAAAATATCGAGAGAGAGATCAGAGAGCTATCACATACATAGACGTTGTTTGACATCCTGATGCATTTTAAATAATTACTCCTTCTGTTTTTAATCAATAACTATCAATTTTAATTAAGTCATTTTTTAAAGTGCTTGTCACTACACTTTCATTAGTAAGATTCTAACT